GGAAAAACAGTCCTCCATCTAGCTCTTCTCCAAAACTCCCTGAATTAGCTGCGCCTCCGCTGCGCAACAGGGCGGAGACTGAGTCACAAAGAGGTCCGTCCTAGTGCTTGCACACACACACATACACGGATCACACACAGAGAGCGAGAGAGACACCCACACACTTCTCCTAGAGCTTGGAGAAACTTTCACAGCTCAGGTCGACCTGTTTCCAGCACACATATGCCAGTGATCCCATGTGGTTGAAAATATTTACGAGCCGAGATAAAGAGCATTAGAGACTCTGAGGAACGCTGCCAATTTGTGAACACGGCCACAGACCACAAAACCATTGAAAACTTCTACTGACATCTCTGGCAATGTTGCATTACAAGGTAATAAATATGCAATTGTATATTTTATAATGATAAAATACTGACGAGACAAAATACGAGAGCCATTTAATACATACAATATTCTATATTCAGTATTATACAAAACAATATTCAACAAGTCAAAAGAATTACAATGACACGCCACTAGACGGCGCAGTTTTCCCTCTTTGCTATCTCATAATATCTGAATAGCGTCCAAAATGGACAAAAATCCATTCTAAATATTGCTTTTATTTCACGGCAGATTATTAGGATTAAAAATGCATATTTCTAGGCTTAAAGGAAAGCAATTCCCACAATTTTAAATATGTTCTCAGGCTTTAAGAGCTTACTACAGAATTACTTATCTGTCAAAAAATTATATAATTCCAGTTGATCAAATACATTAATCTTAATGATTATGGGTACCCATACTATATCTCACCCGCTGATAAATCTCAAAAGGACCAAAATACATCTATACTGATCATGTCCTTAAAGTCTGTGGTGCTGCATAGGCCTTATGCGAGTGAATCTAGTGAATCCTCTGATAAAGTTCAAATCTGTCTATATTTAATAAGACACAGAGGCACAATTTACCCCGACAGGTGTTCAGATATCTTTCTCCAAAATATTTTTTTTTCACTGCAGCTTCCTGTCTACAGATGTTATGCAGAACAATGCATATCTTTCTCTCTCCCTCTGACCAATGGTGAAAGGAGGCTGGATGAATGTTTTGGTCTGTGCAGTTCTGCTGATTCAGAGTTTAAACCAATCAAATATTATAAAAAAAGGTGCTGGTTGTATAAAATATGTTGTTATTATATGTAGTCGATAATAGCAACAACAACAAAAAATAATGATAATGTAATAAACATGCAATATTTTTTATACACCATACTTTTATACTGTTTAAATTTTATTTAAATGGATGTTATCGTTGTCCTTGTCTTATAGAAAACAAACAAAAATGCAGCTATTGTGTAGTGTTTATAATTATATACAATTATATATATATTATTATATTTAATTTCTTTATAATGACAACAATGTATTTATAAGTATTAAAGATACAGAAACTGCATAGTAGTTTATAAGGTTTGCACTGTATAAGTCTATTTAAGAATGATGCAGATCACACCTGTAAAACATTTTTAAATTGATTGTTGCTATTGTGTGATTTAAAATGTGATTCTTTAAAGATACAAAAACTGTGTAAATATACTGCATGGTAACATTCCTATTATTTGTCAATAATCATTATTATTATTTTGGCATTTTGTAGTTTCTATAAATATAGTGGTGTAAACCACTGATGCCACCTGGTGTGAATAAATCTTTATTTGCGTACAGATGACATATTTGTAGACCTCTTAAGAATGTATGTTAAATTATGACCATGTGACTGACAGCTGCACGTGTGTTTGTGTGTTATCTTTACTGCCGCCCTGTGGTGAGTTTCATGAACTGCAGCTCTGCGCGCACGCCTTCAATAGCAGGAGGGGAGGGACGAGCGGAAAACACAGTACAGTACAACCGCATATACAGGCTTATGTATAAAGGACACAAAACAATACAAACTTTTTTTTTTTTTTTTTTACTTAATGACAAATGACAAATAAACACTCAAAAAACCCATAAAACTACTGTAAAAAAGCAAGCTGGAGGGCTGAAAGACAGCGGATCTGAAATGTTGCTAACAGAGACACTGGGAAGGAATGTGATGCAAGAGCCCGTTTCAGCACTACAGCGGCGGACAGCGACACTCAGCTAAACGCCTGCTGCTGCACGCAGCCAACACACACACACAGGCTCCATCTGTAATCCAATCAGCTCCCAGTAAACCAGTCAGCAACCTCTTCATACAATGAAATTAAGCTCGATCCAAACAACAGTACAGTCTTTTGGTATCACAGACTAACTACACAACATACTCAGACAGCTCTATCACATACAACAGCACCAGTCAAACTACAATGACGCTTAAAGTTTAATCAATTTCAGATGTAGGCTGGTCTATTTTAAAATACAACAGTACAGTATTCAAAAACAACAGACAAACCGCACTCAGAAAAAAATGGTACAAATGAATATAAGTGAATATAATGAGAAAATATGAAACAAAATGTGACATACTATAAGGTTTATAGGGTTTGAGGTGCAATGAAACAGACCAGGTGATGTAGTAGCCTATATAACTACTGTGAATATCATGATTACTGCCAGTCAAATGTTTGGACATACATTCCTTATTATTGGTATTTTCTAAACTTTTGAACAATAAATTTCCTTATGTATCCACTCAAACAAACAAGCAAACAAACACAAATGTTTTGTAAAAACAATACATAGACCATTTGTCTATACAAAACTAATTGCAAGCTTTTAAGTAAAAGTCTTTAGAAAATAACGATTGTAAGATTGTAAGAAACTAATTGATTCAAGTGTATCCAAACTGTTGACTAGCAGCATATATTAAAGAATACAAAATACAATGCAACATAACTGAGTGGCTATAGAAAACAGATCTACGTTATTACCTTTAGAAGTGGAATAATAAAATGTGTGTATGATTAGACTATTTTTAAATAAAAGAAACACAAAAATAAAACACTGTTTGGATGAGAAATGTGTGTGTTTGTGTGTTCTTCAATGTTTTCTTACCTTGATTTGCAGACACAGGTATGGATCAGACACATGAGCAGGAGGAGAAGATACCACAGCATCAGCATCAGCAGCAGCAGCAACATGAACATGAAAAAGAAACAAAAAAACAGATTTCATTAGAGTGATGCAACAGCAGATGTGTGCAGGACCCTCATACTTACCAAACTCTTCAGTCTGCGACCTTTATCAGGTCTCAAGACACTTCAGCAAGAACAGAAATACATGATCATTTGTTTGTTAGTCAGAGATCGCAGTGAAAGAAGAAAAGAAAAGAAAGAACGTGCAAAGAAATACCTCTGATGAACAGTAGCTTAACAATTCAAACCTCCTTCATATTGCTCTTTCTCTCTTTCTCTCTCACAGTCAAACACACACACACACACACACACACAGGTTTGTTTTTGTGAAAAGTGGGGACATCCCATAGGCGTAATGGTTTTTCTACTGTACAGACCGTATATTCTATTGCCCTTCACCAACCCTACCCCTAAACCTACCCCTCACAGGAAACTTTGTACTATTTCAGATTTTCAATACACTCCATTCTGTGTGATTTATAAGCGTTTTGAAAAGTGGGGACATGGGGTAATGTCCTGAAAAGTCACCTTCTCCTTGTAATACCTATGTCATACCCTTGTCATTATACAAATTTATGTCCTCATTTGTCACAAAAACGCGCACACACACACAAATCTCATCCTTCATAACTGCAGATGACATTGCAGAAAGAAATTATTGTAATGGCAAAGGTGCTCAAAGTGTTCAGAAATGATCTCCAGTGATTTATTTTGTAAAACGTAATCAGACATGAAGATGTGAACAATGTAAGCAGATTTTCTTATTGCGCAAACCTTCAAAATATTTACATTATGTGCTAATAAAAATGAAACAAACAAAATAATCCTTATATATATATATATATATATATATATATAATTTTCAAAAGCACTATTTACAAACTCTTAATGTTTTAAGTATGCATTCTATTATGTGGAAATATTAACGTGGAAATAAAATATTATTGTAGAATAATTATTCAAAGAACCATAAAGAAAATACACTAATTACTAAGAACAGAATTCCAACTCTCACTGACACAATCATGCTCTATATAAAAACACACACTTGTCCCTTCCCCCAACACATTAAACCTGAATCTCTGGCCACTACATGCCTCCATCTATAACAGGGGTGTCAAAGGCCTTCAGCAGCACCTCACATCATCACATCCAGCTCTGAACCTTTCACTGCCCCCCTGTGGACTCAAGAATAATGGTACAGCCCTACCCATGAGTCAGCCTGTTGCCGTGGCAACACCATCCCACCAAGGGATGGAAAATGGGCCAGAAGAGGAAGGGGGAAAAGCACCATGAGAGGAGCATTTATAAACATATATAAACACAGAGCAAAGCATATTTATCCTCCACAAAAACAACATTGGAAATGACCATCATCTCTCATTTAGGCACAAACCTAAGCTCTCATATATCATACCAAACAAAGCTAGAAATACAATCAGTGTGACCAAGGCCAAAATATAAGGGCTTGTGGTGAAAAATATGCATGTTTTTGGGGTGTTTTTTTTTTCTTGCACACTGACTGACCAGCTGTGCATAACCCATAAATATATCAGACAAAGACTGCAGGGAGGTGCAGGCGGAGAGGGGGAGGGGAGAAATAAAAGACAGAAAGAGAGAAAAAGACACGAAGGAAAGACAGCTTCCCTTGTATAGGGATGATTCACTTGCGAAAAGTACACAAATTATACATTAAGACATAAGATTACATTTACTTTTTTAAAAATGTTAAATAGTTTTATCTGAAATCAACAGAAAAAAAAGTCAAACATCAAAAGATATGACCCACATTCAGATATAACAGAACAAAAACAACTAGTTAAAATGGCTTTGCGGCCACATGGCTTTAGTTTACTGTCTGTAGACACAGGTCACTGTATATGTGTGTGTGTGTCCTACTGTCTCACTTGCCTTGATAAACCCTGTTTAATCCCTTCAGAGGATCAGTGTGCTGCAGGATGAGGACACACACATGCACACGCTGCAAAAACACACAAACTCACACAGAGTGATGCACATGGACGCCCCAAACCAGCATGATTTTGTATGATCTGTGTGCCATGTATACAAGAGCACGTGTGCTTCAAATAACAGCATTCCTCTGCGAAATCAACAATCATCCTGTATTAATCTGTTCTGAGAGCCACACCTGTTCACAAAGCTCACGAGAGACAGATTTCTTAAGGAGAGATGCACTGCTGCATCAAAGTGAAAAGCAGAATAGGACAGAAAATAAAAGAATTCATTTAAAGATGCTCAAGAGACAAGAAACATAAACTGTTTTTCTAGCAAAAAAAGACATTAAATGCTTCCCTTTTGCTATAACCACCGCAAAAAATAAAGACATTTTAAGATTTTAAACACCTGACTTTGATAGCTATATGCTATACTTTAGGAATAACATTTTCTAGATAAAGCCAAGTAAACATACACGACTCAAAGAAAGTATTACAGTGAAAAACACTGTACAACCAGTCAGGTAAAGCGAAACATAGAACACAAAGGCGGTCTTGACCGTTTTACATATGAAACAGTGTCCTTGACCTTTCATATTGGCTTTTACACATCGGCGATGTGCCAATTAAGAATGCTTTGAAGCAAAAAGCCCATTTCAGTGATTTGTGAGGAAACAGCTCCCAAAGCTCAAGAGCATGTGGATTTATGATGTACATTAAAGAAAAGGCACTAATAAGTCCAGGAACTGAAGATTAGAGAAATGAAGGCCAGATGTGGGACACCCAAAGGCAAAGAGGGTAACGGTTCACACAGTCACAACCGAAGAAATGCAGATGTGCCGCCACACACAAACAACAGAAAAAGTGTCTGAGCATGATTGACTTTGCATATAATTACAGTAGACACTAAAGACATTTAAGACTCATTTTCATTTAAGAAAAATAACAGGAAAATGTCACTAAAATGGTTATTTCAAATAGCAACTTCCATAGTAGCAGTTTGCATAGGCAAGCAGCACATCTGACTACCACATGTCTCTTCTTTAATGTGCTGCAGAGAATAGAGGCTCCACAACTGATAATGAGTCTATTAAAGAGAAGCCAGGGTACACTGGAAAATAAACCAAAATATACAAGCTATAAAGTTGAAGTCAACCTGAAATGACTCTCAAGAAGCAAATTTACTTCCATAATATGACGCATTTCAGAGTAAAACAGGACATTCAAGTGAAGCTACAGCTAATTTATTATGTGCATGTCTGTTTACTGTTTTGATGACAAGAGCAGAGAAAAACATGGGCATTTCTAAGTCTCAAAGTGTGTTTCTGCATTTGTGATAGTTATATGGTAAACAAATTCAGCTTTTTTACATGTATAATAAAATTGAATCTTTTATATAAGCTCTTACAAGGCTGTCACAATGGCATGTATATGGTTAATTTGTCATGATCTTCATATTCTAAACTATGTGTCTGCATTGCCTGTAGTCACAGGACTGTGCAGCTTTATAGATGTTCTGTCTCAAAATGTCTACTCGTATCGCACTGCAGTGGTTTTATATAGAGATGCAGAGTGCTGTATGATCGGGGCAATAATATGTGTGAAGCAGAAAATGGGTCAGTGAGTGAAAAAAAATAGTATGCAGTGTCCCTGTTCTTTCTGCAACTTCGCCTCAATCTCTCTCTCTCCTCTGCTTTACTGCCCTTTGGACCATAAGAATCTCCAGCATGAAACAAAATCTGATATATTTGAGAATGCAAAATATCAGAGCTGGCATTCAGTTGCATGGCAAGTTATTCATCCTCTGATGAAAACAAAGATTCAGTTTGGATTTTGCTGCATTAGCCTCGACTCGCCTCTCAGCACACACCCCCTCCCCCACGACCCTGCAGTCTGTGAGATCAGAGCGCATTTCCTGTTTTCTCCTCCTGACAACAGCTGACACATTCTAAAGGAGTGATTGTGTTTATATGCCACTGAATTTTTCTATGAACATACAGTTGCTACAGAAGCATTTAGACACTAAAGTTCCACAAAAATGTGTGAATGTCAATAGACTAAATGACAAATATCATTATTTAAAAAATAAAATAGCACAAGCACACTTTAAATCAATAGATTTACTGTTAAAAACAACTTTGTGTTTGTGAAGCATTAGTGGATCATGTTCACATTTAACATGATTCTCTATACCTGTGGTTCCTCTGCTAGCACACCTGTGTGAACTTGAGGAAAACCAACTTCATACATCCACTAAACATCACAAAAACAGCAGTTGATGCTAGTGTCAAACACACTAAGCAAACATAATGAAGAAAAGCAACTTTAGCTAAAGATTCTGTATAAATACTTGGGGAAACTGTAAGCAATACTGTAGGGGTCACAAAAAGAAATCTCACCTCTGCACTAACATCTTCTGTATTCCTGTTTTGCTTTGGCACAGTTCTTGTGCCACTCAAGTCAAAGTTTAAAACACTTTGACTAGAGGGCTGCAAAAACTTCAGATCACTCTTTCTGGAGTCAGTGGTTCTGCAAACCTCATAATTGTACACGTGCTGTAAAGTTCCTGTGCCCCCTACGTCTGCGTAAAGAGGCGGATAATACGGAATAACTGGAAGATTCGCTCCAGATTTGTAAAACATCCGCTCGCGTCTCCATCTGTAGCATTTGACTGACAGTATGGCGATGATAGACACGATAAAGAGAAACGAAACTACAGCCAAGGCCAAGACCAGATAGAAAGTCAGGTTGTCGTTGTAGTCCTTGTCGTGCGTAAAGTCAGTGAACTCCGAGAGCACTTCAGGGAAGCTGTCCGCCACCGCCACGTTAACATTGACTGTAGCTGATCGAGAGGGCTGCCCGTTGTCCTCCACTACAACAGTGAGTCTTTGTTTCACAGCATCTTTATCTGTCACTTGGCGCACAGTTCTTATTTCTCCATTCTGTAAGCCCACTTCAAACAGCGCCCTGTCTGTGGCTTTCTGCAGTTTATATGAGAGCCAGGCATTCTGTCCAGAGTCCACATCAACAGCCACCACTTTAGTCACCAGATAACCCACATCTGCAGAACGAGGCACTATTTCAGCCACCACAGAAGCGCCTGACTGGACCGGATACAGAACCTGAGGCGCGTTGTCATTCTGGTCCTGAATCGTTATTTTCACGCTCACGTTGCTGCTGAGAGGAGGAGAGCCTGCGTCCTGCGCTTTCACTGTGATTGTAAAAGATTTTAATTGTTCATAATCAAACGATTTTGTTGCATAAACAGTCCCACTTTCAGAATTGATAGAAACTAATGACGAAATTGGTGTGCCGTTCAAATCATTATCTGAAATGAAGTACGACACGCGTGCGTTCGCCCCCAAATCTGCGTCGTGCGCTTTAACACTGAACAAAGACAGAGATGGCGAATTATTCTCCATCACATACGCATTATATGAATCCTGCTCAAACTGCGGAGCGTGATCATTTACATCAGTGATCTTTACGTTCAAAATCTTTTTGCTAAACAATGAAGGACTGCCGCTATCTTTGGCTGTGATGGTAATATTATACTCAGGTATGTCTTCTCTGTCTAGCTCGGAGTCCGTGAAGATACTGTAATAATTAGTCAAAGATGATTCGATTTTAAATGGAAGGTCCCTATCAATAAAACAGGTAATCTTTCCATTTTCTTCAGAATCGCTGTCTTGTATATTTATCATGGCCACAACGGTTCCAAGAGGTGCATTTTCAGGTATATTGTTAGAAAAAGACATAAGCGTCATTTTTGGTGCGTTATCATTTACGTCTGTAACTTCCACAATTACCTCAGAGGAATCTGATAAACCCCCTTGATCTTTAGCTTGGATTTTAAACTCATGAATAGCAGACTCCTCAAAATCAAGCTCACCAATCAATCTTATTTCACCGCTGGATGGATCGACAGAAAACAGGTCTCGGATTTTGGGTGTGGTGTGCTCGAAATAATATCCAATTTGTGCATTTGCGGCGATATCAGCATCGGTTGCATTAACAGTAACCAACAACGACCCCTTTGCAATGTTTTCAGGGATATATATTCTGTATGTGTCCTTTTGGAAAATCGGAGCATTGTCATTGTTATCTAAAATAATAATATTGATTTTTACCGTGCCAGAGCGTTTGGGGTTGCCTCCATCTGTAGCAGTTACAGTCAAATATAAATGATCTTGTTTCTCTCTGTCTAAATGTGTTTGCAAAACAAGCTCTACGTTTTTACTGCTGCCAGATCGACTTTGTGTCTTTAATGTAAAATGATCAGTAGGATGAACTGAATAACTCTGAATACTGTTAATGCCGACATCTGGATCAACTGCGCTATCCACAGTAAAACGTGCTCCGGTGGAAGCAGACTCGCTTATTTCCAATGTAACATTACCTCTTGGAAACGCAGGACTGTTGTCATTAACATCCAGTATTTCTATGGTGATGCGATAGAGCTCGATGGGATTTTCTAAGATGACTTCAAAGCTCAGACTGCACGTGGATACAGCACCAGCGCACAAAAGCTCCCTGTCGATTCTCTCCTTAATAATGATGTGCCCTTTCTCCCGGTCCAGCGCAACATATTCACGGCCACCTGCTGTAAAGATCCGCGCTTTCCCCGTTGTCAGCCTTTTAAGCTCAAGACCCAAGTCTTTAACTATGTCTCCGACGAAAGAACCAGGTGTCATCTCCTCTGGTACGGAGTAACGGACCTGTCCGTACGCGCCACAGAGAAAGTGTACAAAGAAAAGAAGAGCACACGGCGGCCATGCAGAATGACAATCCTTCTTTCTCATGTTGATGATGGCGCTTCGATTAATCTCTCAACAAAAATATATAAATATCTACTCGACAGCGCAGAAAAGATTAAAAAAACCTATATTAAAGTGAATATTAAAAATGAACCAGAGCAAGAATACGGTCTGTCAAAAGCATCGTCCAGTTTTTGCGGTACGCACGGCTTTGTACTAAATGCACAGCCCTTTCATACGACAGTGGCACGGAAGGCGTGTATGATGCATAAAAACAGACAGATCTACCTTACCAACCAACAGCGACGCTTAGGGTTCAATCCAAGAACTGAAAAAAACCTATATTAGAATGAATATTAAAAATGAACCAGAGCAAGAATACGGTCTGTCAAAAGCATCGTCCAGTTTTTGCGGTACGCACGGCTTTGTACTAAATGCACAGCCCTTTCATACGACAGTGGCACGTAAGGCGTGTATGATGCATAAAAACAGACAGATCTACCTTATCAACCAACAGCGACGCTTAGGGTTCAATCCAAGAACTGCAAAATTCTTGTCACAGGTGCTTTATTAGAGCTGTCTATGAAAACGGCAGTACTGGAGCAGGGTGCAAGCCGCAACATCAACTTTTACACACATCATTGTGAATTAAAAGCACACCATTTCTTTTCAAAACAGGTGAAATAACTATAATCACTTTAAAACAGGCAAAAGTATTTTGTGGAAAGTTAAAGGAAAATGTACAAAACTCCACACACTCCTATACGCAATGTTTTAATTATGTTTATATTTTTTACACATTAATAAATAAGAGAATATTTCCAAATGCAGCACTGATAAAACTAAATTAAGCAATTCAATTAAACACAATCTCATGCCACACACCTCACCTGATTTTCTGTATCTCTGGATATCTGTTTACGCTCCTGAATGTTAGTGAGTGTCTGCGTTCCACCGGCGTCCAAACTAATGATGCTCTGACTACAAGGTCGGACAAATTTCAGATCACTCTTTCTTGAGTCAGTAGTCCCGCACATGTCATGCGCTTTAACAGATAAAACAGAGACTCCGGGTGAATTATTTTCCATCACATATGCTGTGTATGACTGACGCTGAAACACAGGGGCGTTGTCATTGACATCAGAGATTTTCAGAGTCAGTGTTTTATTAATAGAGAAAGAGGGTGAGCCCTCATCAATAGCTGTTATTGTGATATTATATTCCGACATTTTTTCACGGTCTAAAATCTGATCAGTAACTAAAGTGTAGAAATTTGAGGAGGAAGATTTAATGCCAAATGGCAAATCTGAATTAACTAAGCATTTAAATTGGCCGTTTTTACCGGAGTCTATATCTTTAATGTTCAGCATCGCTATCACTGTGCCTGGAGTGGAGTCCTCTGGGATGGGACTGGAAAATGAGATAATGCTGATAACAGGTGCATTGTCATTAACATCAGTCAATTCAATAAGCACTTTACTATTATCTGTTAGGCCTCCCTTATCTATGGCCTCAAGATTCAGTTCATATTGCTTCGATCTTTCATAGTCCAACAAGCCATTTACGCAAATTTCCCCAGTGTTCTGATCAATTCTAAAAAGGTCTAAGTCTTTCCCAGAGCTTTGTGAAAATGAATATGTTACCTCACCATTCGCTCCTTTGTCTTTGTCTGTAGCACGTACTGTTAGCACTCCTTTACCTATCGCTGCATTTTCTGCTAAAGAAACTCTGTATACTGACTGACTGAACACGGGTGTGTTGTCGTTGACATCAATTACTGTGACATCTATCTTAATTGTACCAGATTTTTGAGGGCTCCCTCCATCAAACGCCGTCAATGTCAGTTTAAGTTCCTCTTCTCTCTCCCTGTCTAACGGCGATTGCAAAACCATTTCAACGTATTTTGTACCATCATTGCGCGATTGTTCTTTCAATGAAAAATAATCAGTTGGCATTAGAGTGTACCTTTGAAGCGTATTTAATCCAACATCAGGATCATGCGCACTGTCTAATGAAAAGCGAGCACCGGGAACGGCAAACTCGCTAATTTGAAAGTTGATCTCTTTTCTATTAAAAACAGGAGCATGATCATTTATATCTAATATTTCTACATCAATTCTATGGAGCTCCATGGGGTTTTCTAGAATGATTTGAAAATGTAAGGAGCAGGGAGACACTTGGGCGCACAGCTCCTCTCTATCTATCCTCTCTTTCACTAGCAGAGTCCCTTTATCCACATTCAGACCGATGTAATCACGACTGTCCTCCGTAAAGATTCGCGCTCGACCAGATTTCAGCCTCTTTACATCCAAACCGAGATCCTGAACGATATTTCCCACCAGCGAGCCCTTTGTCATCTCCTCTGGAATAGAATAACGGACCTGCCCGCGCGCAACGGTCATGACAAAGACGCACAGCACGAGAGGCTGCATTAGCCATGATGAAATCCGCGTCGAAGATGCGCCTCTTTGGGCGTAAAAACAAGGAAGAACCGACATAATCCAAATCTTCTTTCACAAAAAGACTTAGAAAGGATGTAAAATATCAGTGATGTTAAAAGAAGAGTCAATCGATGGTTCAACCATCTAATGTTAGAGAGAGACCGTGTGAAATGAAAGAGATATTCTGCAGACTGTATGATGTCAGAAAGTGGAGGAGGATCTATGAAAAGCTGTTTAAAAAAGCTCTACATACTGACCAACAGCGGCACTTAGAGTATAAAAGAAATATTACGTTGAAAAATTGTTTGATACAGAGCAAATCGTAATAAAAATGGAAAGAAATAACAATAATAATGATGATAATGATAATAATAATAATAATAAATAATTTTTAACACAAATGTTAGATTGGATTACTTGTTTACTTAACGACTTAAAAGTTAAGGTATGGCGTGATTCATTGGGACGCACCCGTTTGTAAACACATACACACTAAAATATTAAGGAAATCAGAACAAGCAATTGACAATTAAAATGAAAGGCAGAAAAAAATATTTATAACGATTCACTCGAGCTCACCTGATCAAAAGAATGCTCATCATTCAGTTTTGCTCTTTGCGCATGCGTGAGTGTCTGTGTTCCACTGCTGTCCAGACTAATGACGCTTTCACTGCAAGGTCTGCCGTATTTCAGATCACTCTTTCTGGAGTCAGTGGTTCTGCAAACCTCATAATTGTACACGTGCTGTAACGTTCCTGTGCCCAGAGTCTTTGTCATGCGCTTTAACAGATAAAACAGAGACTCCGGGTGAATTATTTTCCATCACATATGCTGTGTATGACTGACGCTGAAACACAGGGGCGTTGTCATTGACATCAGAGATTTTCAGAGTCAGTGTTTTATTAGTAGAGAAAGAAGGCGAGCCCTCATCAATAGCTGTTATTGTGATATTATATTCTGAGACCTTCTCCCTATCCAAAAGCTCATCAGTGACTAAACTGTAAAAATTTGGGCTTGATGACTTTATTTTAAACGGTAAATTCTGAGCAATGTAGCACCTGACTATTCCGTTTTTCCCCGAATCTAAATCTTTGACATTCAGCATTGCTATTACAGTCTCTGGTGCTGAACTCTCCGCCACTGGGTTTGAAAATGAAATTACGCTTATTATAGGAGCATTGTCGTTTATATCAGTAATTTCAATATGTACTTTGCTAGTGTCACTTAATCCTCCTTTGTCTGTTGCTTCTACGTATAATTCATATTTTTTTGATTTCTCGAAATCCAACTGACCATTAACTATAATATCTCCAGAACTGGAATCTATTTGGAAAAGGTTAGATAACCGTTCACTGCTCTGTGAAAAAGAATAGGTAACATCTCCATTAGATCCCACGTCTTTATCAGTTGCACTCACCCTTAACACAGAGGATCCTTTAGGAAAATTCTCTGGAATAGATGCTTTATAGATTGACTGACTGAAAACAGGAGCGTTGTCATTTGCATCTAAAACAATAACGTTTATCTTGATAGTGCCCGTTTTTTGAGGGTTTCCGCCATCGAAGGCAGTTAAAATCATTTTATGTTCTTCTCCAGTTTCTCTGTCAAGGGTTTTTTGCAAAATCATTTCTACGTATTTTGTATCGTCGAGATGAGCAGGTATTTTAACTGTGAAATGATCAGATGGGGTTAATTTATATGTCTGAATAGAATTTAGACCTACATCAGGATCATTAGCGCTATCGATTGAATATCGAGCCCCAGAAAAAGCAGATTCGCTTATCTGAAAAGTAATCTCTTTTTTCATGAAAACAGGAGCATGATCATTAATATCTAATATTTCCACATCAATTCTATGGAGCTCCATGGGGTTTTCTAGAATGATCTGAAAATGTAAGGAGCAGGGAGACACTTGGGCGCACAGCTCCTCTCTATCTATCCTCTCTTTCACTAGCAGAGTCCCTTTATCCACATTCAGACCGATGTACTCACGACTGTCCTCCGTAAAGATCCGCGCTCGACCAGATTTCAGCCTCTTAACATCCAAACCGAGATCCTGAACAATATTTCCCACCAGCGAGCCCTTTGTCATCTCCTCTGGAATAGAATAACGGCCCTGCCCGCGCGCAACGGTCATGACAAAGACGCACAGCACGAGAGGCTGCATTAGCCATGATGAAATCCGCGTCGAAGATGCGCCTCTTTGGGCGTAAAAACAAGGAAGAACCGACATAATCCAAATGTTCTATTCACTGAAGAAAAAAAGATGAACAAATGATTCAGAAAGGTTGAAAATATAAAAGTTCATCCGAAAATACAAGGCAGCGAATGTCTCGATGCTGTAAAGAAGAGATCGTCTGAATGAAAGAAAGATTCTGCAGAATGTGATGTCAGAAAGTAGAGGAGGATCTAAAAATTAGTGCTTAAAACCCGAACATACTGACCAACAGCGGCACTTAGTGCATCAGAGAAACATTACAATGAATAAATAAATAAACACTGATAAGGAGCAATACAGATAATGACATGAATTGCGACTAGTATATACGTACTTTGCGTTAAGGCAGAATTTTGCTCAAATATTAATTAATGATGCTTTGAAACGAACACTTAAAATATGATGAAAGGAAAATAGTCAGTAGCAAAGCAGAAAATATAATATAGCCCTTAAGTTAATCAGGTACGATTCATTGTGTGCACAAATTAGCAAAATTTAAAAGATAAAAAAACTAATATCTGAGTGCAACTGGCAAAATGAAAATGAAAACACGACTGTGTATGTATTATTTATTTTTATATATAAAACATAGAAAGGTTATGGTTTTGATTTGAAGTGTGAAAAATGTATGGTCACTAATCCTAGGCATCTCCTACTATCGGTAAATTTCAACTACAGCAATTTCCAATACAAATCTAAATAATAATAATAATAAATACATAAATGAAGTACAGTGCACAACCATAAAAGCGATGAAGCCAGAAAGATAATATTATATATAAATGGACATTAGAAAGTCATAGTCATGATCATTCACTCGAGCTCACCTGATCAAAAGAATCTTCATTATTCAGTTTTGCTCTTTGCGCATGCGTGAGTGTTTGTGTTCCGCTGCTGTCCAGACTAATGATGCTCTCACTGCAAGGTCTGCCGTATTTCAGATCACTCTTTCTGGAGTCAGTGGTTCTGCAAACCTCATAATTGTACACGTGCTGTAAAGTTCCTGTGCCCCCTACGTCTGCGTAAAGAGGCGGGTAATACGGAATAACTGGAAGATTCGCCCCAGATTTGTAAAACATCCGCTCGCGTCTCCATCTGTAGCATTTAACTGACAGTATGGCGATGATAGACACGATAAAGAGAAACGAAACTACAGCCAAGGCCAAGACCAGATAGAAAGTCAGGTTGTCGTTGTAGTCCTTGTCGTGCGTAAAGTCAGTGAACTCCGAGAGCACTTCAGGGAAGCTGTCCGCCACCGCCACGTTAACATTGACTGTAGCTGATCGAGAGGGCTGCCCGTTGTCCTCCACTACAACAGTGAGTCTTTGTTTCACAGCATCTTTATCTGTCACTTGGCGCACAGTTCTTATTTCTCCATTCTGTAAGCCCACTTCAAACAGCGCCCTGTCTGTGGCTTTCTGCAGTTTATATGAGAGCCAGGCATTCTGTCCAGAGTCCACATCAACAGCCACCACTTTAGTCACCAGATAACCCACATCTGCAGAACGAGGCACTATTTCAGCCACCACAGAAGCGCCTGACTGGACCGGATACAGAACCTGAGGCGCGTTGTCATTCTGGTCCTGAATCATTATTTTCACGCTCACGTTGCTGCTGAGAGGAGGATTTCCTCCGTCCTGCGCCTTTACGCGAATACTAAATTATTTTGTTTGCTCATAATCAAACGAACGAACAGCAAGAATCTCTCCGCTCTCTGCATTCACTGAAATAAACGTCGAGGCAGAAACGCCATTCACAAGAATATCCTCTAGAAAATATGAAATACGCGCGTTATTGCCAGAGTCTTTGTCATGCGCTTTAACAGATAAAACAGAGACTCCGGGTGAATTATTTTCCATCACATATGCGGTGTATGACTGACGCTGAAACACAGGGGCGTTGTCATTGACATCAGAGATTTTCAGAGTCAGTGTTTTATTAGTAGAGAAAGAAGGCGAGCCCTCATCAATAGCTGTTATTGTGATATTATATTCAGACATTTTTTCACGGTCTAAAATTTGATCAGTGATTAAACTGTAGAAATTTGAGGATGATTGTCTTATTCGGAACGGTAAACTAGGATTAATTAAACATCTCACCTGTCCATTTTTCCCCGAATCTAAATCTTTGACATTCAGCATCGCTATCACAGTCTCGGGAGCTGAATTTTCTGGCAAAGGGTTTGAGAAAGATATTACATTAATTACAGGGGCATTGTCATTAACATCTGTAATTTCCACCATAACTTTAGCAGTATCTGTTAAACCACCAATGTCTGTCGCCACCATATTTAATTCATATTTCTTGTTTTTTTCAAAGTCTAGAAGGCCAGTGAGTAATATATCACCGTAAGAAGGATCGACATTAAAAATATTTGAGATGCCTTTGCTACTTTGGGAAAATGAATAGGAAACTTGTTTATTTGTTCCTTGGTCTGCGTCAGTTGCACTAACCTTTAAGACTAATGATCCCATTGACGCATTTTCAGCTACAAGTGCTGTATATACAGACTGACTAAAAACAGGTGCGTTGTCATTTGCATCCAAGACAATAATGTTAATTTTCAAGGTTCCAGATTTCTGGGGGGATCCACCGTCAAACGCGGTTAAAATCAGATTATACTCCTCCTGTTTTTCTCTGTCTAATGGAGTCTGTAAGACCATTTCGACATATTTAGTACCGTCAGTGTGAGACAAGGTTTTGAGCACAAAATGATCGGTTGGATTTAATTTATACGTCTGAAGCGAATTTAAACCCTCGTCAACATCATCAGCGCTATCGATTGAGTATCTGGCTCCAGGTAACGCTAATTCACTAATTTGAAGATGTATCTCTTTGTTTATGAAAACTGGAGCATGATCATTTATATCTAATATTTCTACATCAATTCTATGGAGCTCCATGGGGTTTTCTAGAATGATTTGAAAATGTAAGGAGCAGGGAGACACTTGGGCGCACAGCTCCTCTCTATCTATCCTCTCTTTCACTAGCAGAGTCCCTTTATCCACATTCAGACCGATGTACTCACGACTGTCCTCCGTAAAGATCCGCGCTCGACCAGATTTCAGCCTCTTAACATCCAAACCGAGATCCTGAACGATATTTCCCACCAGCGAGCCCTTTGTCATCTCCTCTGGAATAGAATAACGGACCTGCCCGCGCGCAACGGTCATGACAAAGACGCACAGCACGAGAGGCTGCATTAGCCATGATGAAATCCGCGTCGAAGATGCGCCTCTTTGGGCGTAAAAACAACAAAGAACCGACATAATCCAAATCCTCTGTCCCACTACAGAAGAAAAGTCGAACAAGCAAAAGATTCAGAAAGGTTGAAAAATATCAAACTTCATCCGAAAACACAGGGAATGTCTCGATGCTTCAGTGTTAAACAGAGATCGTCTGAACGAAAGAGAGATTCTGCAGAATGTGATGTCAGAAAGTGGAGGAGGATCTAAAAACCAATGTTTAAATCCCAAACACACTGACCAACAGCGGCACTTAGTGCATCAGAGAAATATTACACAGAAAAAAAAAAAAAAAAATTTTTTTGTTAAAGAGAAATAATAAAATAATAAAAAAACCTTCATTAACTGCAACCGAAGTATATATTTTGCGTTAACGGGTTTCCCCCTAAAATACCAATAACAACATGATATTAACCGAAGACCTAAATATGACAAAAGGAAACAGTCGGAGGCAAAGCAGAAAATATAAAATAGCCCTTTAGCAATGAAGGTACGATTCGTTGTGACTCAGTCATGCGCGCGCACATAAGCACACACACACAAATGATTTTGTGTAAAATATAAAAAATAGTAAGTTTAATATGAAAATTGTAAAAAATTTATAGTCACAAAAATACTATCGGTACAGTAAATTTGTAACTTTTTGCCAGTTTGCACAAAAAAAAAAAAATTAAAAAAAAAAAAAAAAAACCACTGAAAACGTCAAAAAGAAAAACCATTAAACGGAAAAGACAGTCATATTCCTTCCCATTCACTCGAGCTCACCTGATCAAAATAATCCTCATTATTCAGTTTTCCTCTTTGCGCATGCATGAGTGTTTGTGTTCCGCTGCTGTCCAGACTAATGATGCTTTCACTGCAAGGTCTGCCGCATTTCAGATCACTCTTTCTGGAGTCAGTGGTTCTGCAAACCTCATAATTGTACACGTGCTGTAAAGTTCCTGTGCCCCCTACGTCTGCGTAAAGAGGCGGATAATACGGAATAACTGGAAGATTCGCTCCAGATTTGTAAAACATCCGCTCGCGTCTCCATCTGTAGCATTTGACTGACAGTATGGCGATGATAGACACGATAAAGAGAAAAGAAACAACAGCCATACGCGCGTTATTGCCAGAGTCTTTGTCATGCGCTTTAACAGATAAGACAGAGACTCCGGGTGAATTGTTTTCCATCACATATGCTGTGTATGACTGACGCTGAAACACAGGGGCGTTGTCATTGACATCAGAGATTTTCAGAGTCAGTGTTTTATTAGTAGAGAAAGAGGGTGAGCCCTCATCAATAGCTGTTATTGTGATATTATATTCGGATATTTTTTCACGGTCTAATAATTGATCGGTTGTCACACTATAGAAATTTGAGGTGGATGACTGTATTTTGAATGGCAAATTTGGAGCAATAGAACATTTAACCTGTCCGTTTCTCCCTGAATCTAAATCTTTGACATTCAGCATCGCTATCACAGTCTCTGGCGCTGCGTCCTCGGGTATTGGGTTAGAAAATGAAATTACGCTTATCATGGGTGCATTGTCATTAACGTCAATTAATTCGATAATAACTTTACTGGAATCTGTTAAGCCACCTTTATCTGTTGCTTCAACATGCAATTGAAAATGTTTTGACTTCTCGAAATCCAGGTCACCGTTAACAATAATGTCACCACTTTGTGAATCTATATTGAACAGTTCTAAAGCCTTTCCTGATGTTGGTGAGAAGGAATACGCCATTTCAGCATTCGTGCCTTTGTCTTTATCAGTTGCAGTCACGCTCACAACATCAGTGCCCTTTGCTGAATTCTCTAATAAGGAAACTCTATACACGGGGAGACTAAACACAGGAGCATTGTCATTTGCGTCGATTACAAGAACACTTATTTTAATAGTGCCTGATTTCTGAGGACTGCCGCCATCAAATGCCGTCAATATTAATTTATGCTCCTCTTGAGTTTCTCTATCTAGTGTTTTTTGTAGAATCATTTCAACATATTTCAATCCATCATTACCCATCTGTTCTTTCAGAGAAAAATTATCAGTCGGATTGAGTGTGTATTTCTGAAGGGTATTTAAACCCACATCAGAATCTTGCGCATTATCTAAAGAAAATTTGGCTCCAGGAACAGCCAGCTCACTTATTTGAAAGCTTATTTCCTTTCTAACAAAAACTGGAGCATGATCATTGATATCTAATATTTCCACATCGATTCTATGGAGCTCAATTGGATTTTCTAGAATGATCTGAAAATGTAAGGAGCAGGGAGATACTTGGGCGCACAGCTCCTCTCTATCTATCCTCTCTTTCACTACCAGAGTCCCTTTATCCACATTCAGACCGATGTACTCACGACTGTCCTCCGTAAAGATCCGCGCTCGACCAGATTTCAGCCTCTTTACATCCAAACCGAGATCCTGAACGATATTTCCCACCAGCGAGCCCTTTGTCATCTCCTCTGGAACAGAATAACGGACCTGCCCGCGCGCAACGGTCATGACAAAGACGCACAGCACCAGAGACTGCATTAGCCATGATGAAATCCGCGTCGAAGATGAGCTTCTTTGGGAGTAAAAACAACAAAGAACCGACATAATCCAAGTCTTCTATTCCACTTCAGAAGAAAAGACCAAGAACAAAATATAAAGAGAGATTGAAAAATATCAAAGTTCATCCGAGAACACAAGGCAGCGAATGTCTCGATGTATCAGTGTTAAACAGAGATCGTCTGAATGAAAGAAAGATTCTGCAGAATGTGATGTCAGAAAGTAGAGGAGGACCTAAAAACGAATGTTTAAAGCCCGAACATACTGACCAACAGCGGCACTTAGTGCATCAGAGAAATATTACACTAAAAATGCTGTTAAAGAGCAATACAGAAAATGTCATGAATTGCGACCAAAGTCGTATATACTTTACATTAACGAGGACTTTTGCTGAAATATTAATAAGATTATGTTCTGAACCGAACATCTAAGAATAAAAGGAAAGCCCTAGTTATACAGGCACGATTCAATGAGACTCTCATACGCAGAATAAAAATCTCTTAGTGCAATTACGAAAATAAAAGAATACTGTGTCTGCATTCAATTTCCTATGAAACATTTAAAAGTTAAGGTTTTGAAATTAACAAGTGTGAAAAATAGTCTCGAAAATGCTATCGGTACAGTACATTTCAACTACAGCTTCTTAATTTAAAAATTATAAATCTAAAAAAAAATAAAACAAAAATGCAGTGCACAGTATAAAGCCAGAACGGGAATAAATAAATGAACACCAAAAAGTCATATTCCTAACCATTCACATCAGCTCACCTGATCATAAGAATCCTCATTATTCAGCTTTGCTCTTTGCGCATGCGTGAGTGTCTGTGTTCCACTGCTGTCCAGACTAATGATGCTTTCACTGCAAGGTCTGCCGTATTTCAGATCACTCTTTCTGGAGTCAGTGGTTCTGCAAACCTCATAATTGTACACCTGCTGTAAAGTTCCTGTGCCCCCTACGTCTGCGTAAAGAGGCGGGTAATACGGAATAACTGGAAGATTCGCTCCAGATTTGTAAAACATCCGCTCGCGTCTCCATCTGTAGCATTTGACTGACAGAATGGCAATGATAGACACGATAAAGAGAAACGAAACTACAGCCAAGGCCAAGACCAGATAGAAAGTCAGGTTGTCGTTGTAGTCCTTGTCGTGCGTAAAGTCAGTGAACTCCGAGAGCACTTCAGGGAAGCTGTCCGCCACCGCCACGTTAACATTGACTGTAGCTGATCGAGAGGGCTGCCCGTTGTCCTCCACTACAACAGTGAGTCTTTGTTTCACAGCATCTTTATCTGTCACTTGGCGCACAGTTCTTATTTCTCCATTCTGTAAGCCCACTTCAAACAGCGCCCTGTCTGTGGCTTTCTGCAGTTTATATGAGAGCCAGGCATTCTGTCCAGAGTCCACATCAACAGCCACCACTTTAGTCACCAGATAACCCACATCTGCAGAACGAGGCACTATTTCAGCCACCACAGAAGCGCCTGACTGGACCGGATACAGAACCTGAGGCGCGTTGTCATTCTGGTCCTGAATCATTATTTTCACGCTCACGTTGCTGCTGAGAGGAGGATTTCCTCCGTCCTGCGCCTTTACGCGAATACTAAATTATTTTGTTTGCTCATAATCAAACGAACGAACAGCAAGAATCTCTCCGCTCTCTGCATTCACTGAAATAAACGTCGAGGCAGAGACGCCATTCACGAGAATATCTTCTAGAAAATATGAAATACGCGCGTTATTGCCAGAGTCTTTGTCATGCGCTTTAACAGATAAAACAGAGACTCCGGGTGAATTATTTTCCATCACATATGCTGTGTATGACTGACGCTGAAACACAGGGGCGTTGTCATTGACATCAGATATTTTCAGAGTCAGTGTTTTATTAGTAGAGAAAGAAGGCGAGCCCTCATCAATAGCTGCTATTGTGATATTATATTCAGACATTTTTTCACGGTCTAAAATTTGATCAGTGATCAAACTGTAGAAATTCTGCTCAGATGACTTCAATTTGAACGGCAAATCTGTAGCAATAGAACATTTAACCTGCCCGTTTTTCCCTGAATCCAAATCTTTGACATTCAGCATCGCTATAACAGTTTCTGGCGCGGCATCTTCGGGTATTGGGTTAGAAAATGAAATCACGCTTATTACAGGGGGGTTGTCATTTACATCTATAATGTCGATTTCCACTTTACTAGAATCAGTTAAGCCACCTTTGTCCGTAGCATCTATGTTTAACTCAAACTGCTTTGCCCTCTCGTAATCTAAATCCCCTTTTACGGTAATTTCACCTGTTTTTGTGTCAATATGGAATAAATCAAGTGCTTTTCCTGAACTGCGTGAAAAGGAATATGCAATCTCACCGTTTGCGCCTTGGTCATTATCAGTGGAGCTTACCTTGATTACTACAGCACCATTTGGTGAATTCTCTAATAAAGAAACACGGTAAACAGGCAGACTGAAAACAGGAGCATTATCGTTTGCGTCTATGACCATAACACTTATCCTAACGGTGCCAGTTTTCTGAGGACTGCCGCCATCGAAGGCTGTAAGGGTTAATTTGTGCTCCTCCTGAGTCTCCCTGTCTAAAGGCACTTGAAGAACCATTTCGACGTATTTCGAGCCATCGTTTCGTGATAGGACCTTTAAATCAAAATTATCTGTTGGATTTAACATATATGACTTAAGCGCGTTAGTGCCAGTGTCCGGATCCTGGGCGCTGTCTAATGAAAATCGAGCCCCGGGAAGTGCCAATTCACTTATTTGAAAATCAATTTCCTTTCTAGCGAAAACAGGAGCATGATCATTGATATCTAATATTTCTACATCGATTCTATGCAGCTCCATGGGGTTTTCTAGAATGATCTGAAAATGTAAGGAGCAGGGAGACACTTGGGCGCACAGCTCCTCTCTATCTATCCTCTCTTTCACTACCAGAGTCCCTTTATCCACATTCAGACCGATGTACTCACGACTGTCCTCCGTAAAGATCCGCGCTCGACCAGATTTCAGCCTCTTTACATCCAAACCGAGATCCTGAACGATATTTCCCACCAGCGAGCCCTTTGTCATCTCCTCTGGAATAGAATAACGGACCTGCCCGCGCGCAACGGTCATGACAAAGACGCACAGCACAAGAGGCTGCATTAGCCATGATGAAATCCGCGTCGAAGATGCGCCTCTTTGGGCGTAAAAACAACAAAGAACCGACATAGTCCAAGTCTTCTATTCCAGAAGAAAAGATTAAAAACTGATGATTCAGAAAATGTGAAAAAAAAAATCCAAGTTAATCCGAAAATACAAGGTAGCGAATGTCTGGGTGCTTTAGTGTAAAGAGGAGATCGTCTGAATGAAAGAGATTCTGCAGAATGTGATGTCAGAAAGTAGAGGAGGATCTAAAAATGAGTGTTAAAAGCCCGAACATACTGACCAACAGCGGCACTTAGTGCATCAGAGAAATATTACACTAAAAAAATACTTTTAAAGAGACAATGAACTGCGACCAAAGTAGTATTTATTTTGCGTTAAGGCAGAATATTGCTGAACTATAAATAAAATTGTGTTTTGAAAAGAACACCTAGAATATGAGGAAAAGAAAATGGTCAAAAGCAAAGCAGAAACTACAATGTAGCCTTTCAGCGATACAGGTACGATTAATTGCGATTCACTCATGCATACACTAAAAAAACTGTAACTTGACTGAGTGCAAATGAAAAAAAAAAATATAACAAAAAAGTCCGTGTCTGTATCTAATTATGTGTATCTATATGTATCTATAAAACATTGAAAGGTTATAGTTTTGATATAAAGTATAAAAAAATGTAGTCTAAAAAATGTTATCTGTAAAGTATATTATAACTACTATTAACTATTACAACAACTGATATTTCTTTCATTATAAATCTAAAAAATAGAATAAGTACAGTATACAACCATAAAACAGATGCAGCCAGTAATAATAAATGGACACCAAAAAGTCACATTCAGGCTCATTCACTCGAGCTCACCTGATCAAAATAATCTTCATTATTCAGTTTTGCTCTTTGCGCATGCGTGAGTGTTTGTGTTCCACTGCTGTCCAGACTAATGGTGCTTTCACTGCAGGGTCTGCCGTATTTCAGATCACTCTTTCTGGAGTCAGTGGTTCTGCAAACCTCATAATTGTACACGTGCTGTAAAGTTCCTGTGCCCCCTACGTCTGCGTAAAGAGGCGGATAATACGGAATAACTGGAAGATTCGCTCCAGATTTGTAAAACATCCGCTCGCGTCTCCATCTGTAGCATTTGACTGACAGTATGGCGATGATAGACACGATAAAGAGAAACGAAACTACAGCCAAGGCCAAGACCAGATAGAAAGTCAGATTGTCGTTGTAGTCCTTGTCGTGCGTAAAGTCAGTGAACTCCGAGAGCACTTCAGGGAAACTGTCCGCCACCGCCACGTTAACATTGACTGTAGCTGATCGAGAGGGCTGCCCGTTGTCCTCCACTACAACAGTGAGTCTTTGTTTCACAGCATCTTTATCTGTCACTTGGCGCACAGTTCTTATTTCTCCATTCTGTAAGCCCACTTCAAACAGCGCCCTGTCTGTGGCTTTCTGCAGTTTATATGAGAGCCAGGCATTCTGTCCAGAGTCCACATCAACAGCCACCACTTTAGTCACCAGATAACCCACATCTGCCGAACGAGGCACTATTTCAGCCACCACAGAAGCGCCTGACTGGACCGGATACAGAACCTGAGGCGCGTTGTCATTCTGGTCCTGAATCATTATTTTCACGCTCACGTTGCTGCTGAGAGGAGGATTTCCTCCGTCCTGCGCCTTTACGCGAATACTAAATTATTTTGTTTGCTCATAATCAAACGAACGAACAGCAAGAATCTCTCCGCTCTCTGCATTCACTGAAATAAACGTCGAGGCAGAGACGCCATTCACGAGAATATCTTCTAGAAAATATGAAATACGCGCGTTATTGCCAGAGTCTTTGTCATGCGCTTTAACAGATAAAACAGAGACTCCGGGTGAATTATTTTCCATCACATATGCGGTGTATGACTGACGCTGAAACACAGGGGCGTTGTCATTGACATCAGAGAGTTTCAGAATCAATGTTTTATTAGTAGAGAAAGAAGGCGAGCCCTCATCAATAGCTGTTATCGTGATGTTATACTCAGACATTTTTTCACGGTCTAAAAGCTGATCAGTAATCAGACTGTAAAAATTTGAGGATGATTGTCTGATTTGAAATGGTAAACTAGGATTAATTAAACATCTGACCTGTCCATTTTTTCCCGAATCTAAATCTTTGACATTCAGCATCGCTATCACAGTCTCAGGAGCTGAATTTTCTGGCAAAGGGTTTGAGAAAGATATTACATTAATTACAGGGGCATTGTCATTAACATCTGTAATTTCCACCATCACTTTAGCAGTATCTGTTAAACCACCAATGTCTGTCGCCACCACATTCAGCTCGTATTTCTTTGATTTTTCAAAGTCGAGAGGGCCAATAACTGTAATATCACCATTTGTTAGATCAATATTGAATGTATCTAAGATACTGTCACTGCTTTCCGAGAATGAATAGGAAACTTCTTTATTTGTTCCTTGATCTGCGTCAGTTGCACTAACCTTTACGACTAATGACCCCATTGACGCATTTTCAGCTACAAGTGCTGTATATACAGACTGACTAAAAACAGGTGCGTTGTCATTTGCATCCAAGAGAATAATGTTAATTTTTAAGGTTCCAGTTTTCTGGGGGGATCCACCGTCAAACGCGGTTAAAATCAAATTATACTCCTCCTGTTTTTCTCTGTCTAATGGAGTCTGTAAGACCATTTCGACATATTTAGTACCGTCAGTGTGAGACAAGGTTTTGAGCACAAAATGGTCGTTCGGATTTAATTTATACGTCTGAAGTGAATTTAAACCTACATCTGGATCTTTAGCGCTATCGATTGAATATCTGGCTCCAGGTATCGCTAATTCGCTAATTTGGAAGGTTATTTCTTTTTTTAAGAAAACAGGAGCATGATCATTGATATCCAATATTTCTACATCGATTCTATGCAGCTCCATGGGGTTTTCTAGAATAATCTGAAAATGTAAGGAGCAGGGAGACACTTGGGCGCACAGCTCCTCTCTATCTATCCTCTCTTTCACTAGCAGAGTCCCTTTATCCACATTCAGACCGATGTACTCACGACTGTCCTCCGTAAAGATCCGCGCTCGACCAGATTTCAGCCTCTTAACATCCAAACCGAGATCCTGAACGATATTTCCCACCAGCGAGCCCTTTGTCATCTCCTCTGGAATAGAATAACGGACCTGCCCGCGCGCAACGGTCATGACAAAGACGCACAGCACCAGAGACTGCATTAGCCATGATGAAATCCGCGTCGAAGATGCGCCTCTTTGGGCGTAAAAACAAAGCACCCACATAATCCAAATTTTCTGTTCCACTACAGAAGAGAAGTTGAAGAACGGAAGGTTCCCAAAATTTGAAAAACATCAATCTTCATCCGAAAACGTATGGAAGCGAATCTCTAGATGCTTTAATGTAAAGAGGAGACCGTCTGAATGAAAGAGATTCTGCAGAATGTGATGTCAGAAAGTGGAGGCGGATCTAAAAACGAGTGTCTGTTACACAGAAACACTGACCAACAGCGGCACTTAGAGCATCAGACAAATATTACATTAAAACTTTGTTAAACATAAATACAAAACAACAACAACAACAAAAAAACAATAAATAAAATTATTTTTGCTCAAATATAAAAAAATTACGTTTTTAACCTAAGACCTTAAACATGATAAATGGAAACGTCAAAAAACAACAAACAAACAAATAAAATATCCCTTTATGAAACTAATGCAATGGGACTCATTCGTGCGCGCGCACACGCACACACACATTGTAAATTTTTTTTAAAATCCAACTAGAAATTACTGTATAGCCTAAACGCTATAAAAAAAGCACAATTCAAAAACACAGTGCAACTGCATATTATGCTTTGTTATTAGAGATAATGCTATTAAAAAGTTTGTGTAAATAGCACTTGGATGAGAGCAACTTTTACGTAAAATAAACAAATTGTCTGGTTACACTACTTTCTTCAAAGCTGTTTGTAGAACATAAGGCTCGGCGCTAATTTAAAGAATATTTCACTGTTGTTGAAAACATGAACTAAATCTGGCAGATTTTGTATGCGTCATTCTGTCTAAATTTATAGAGCAGTTTGCAGCTCTGAATGATTTTAGGCGTGACAAAAATTACTTGATAAGAAAACTCGTACCTGACAACCACAGGGTGCCATTTCGCTTTTTCTTTCTTTCTTTCTACTTACAAATTGTTACATTAAACAATTTCTTACAGTGCACACCAACACAAACAGGGGAAGTCAAGCATTGAAATATAACCGTTCAATACACACTATAGAAAAAAAATAATGTAACGATTAATATATTTAAAGATTTCATAGTATAGCAGTCATGGCACGACCTTGTCAACATTTAAAACGAAAATAAACACAACAAATATGAGAAACACTAAATAATTAAAAAAATAATGTAATTCTCACCTGATCCTCACAATCATCATAGTTCAGTCTCTCCCTTTGCGCATGCGTGAGTGTTTGTGTTCCGCTGCTGTCCAGACTAATGATGCTCTCACTGCAAGGTCTGCCGTATTTCAGATCACTCTTTCTGGAGTCAGTGGTTCTGCAAACCTCATAATTGTACACGTGTCCTCCAGTATGTAAGACACACGGGCATTCTGGTTAAAATCTGCGTCTCTGGCTCTGACTGTGAATATGGAAAGACCCGGTGTGTTGTTTTCTTGAACAGAGGCCTCATATGAGCTCTTGTCAAAGACAGGCGCGTTATCATTCACATCTGATATCTGTAAGGAGAGAGTGACGCTGCTGGAGAGAGAGGGCAGGCCCTCATCAGCGCACGTCACACTGATGTTATACTCAGACTCTCTCTCACGGTCTAAATCACTGTCTGCCACAATACTATAGAATCCATTAGAAGTTGATTTGATTGTAAAAGGAATGTTTTCATTTACACTGCAACGAACTTGTCCATTACTGTCAGAATCCGGATCGTTAACATTGATAATGGCAGTCACAGTACTCTGTGGAGAGTCCTCAGGTATTGCATTAGATTTAGACATAACTGTGATTACGGGCGCGTTATCATTTATATCAATCACGTCGACCATTATTTTGCTTGAATCAGACAGTCCACCATTATCTACTGCTTCTATATCAATTTGGTAATGTTTAGATGTTTCGAAGTCAATTTTTCCGACTAACGTCACCAATCCATTTTCATCAATATGAAAGATGTCAGATACACTGTCACTGTTTGCAATTAAATAACTGACATCTCCATTTGTCCCTTTATCTGAATCAGAAGCTCTAACAGTGACGAGTGGCGTGCCACTCTGGGAGTTTTCTGTAATTATCGCCCTATATATAGGCTTAGTAAAAACTGGAGCATTATCGTTTATATCAAGCACTGTAACATAAATCTGAACTGTTCCTGATTTCGGTGGTTCTCCACCATCTATTGCGGTTAATATCAGAGACATGTTTTCTTGTTTTTCTCGGTCTAAAGGCTTCTGTAGAATCATTTCAACCTTTTTACTCCCATCACTCTGACCATGAAGTTTTAAATTAAAATGATCAGTAGGTTGTAGAAAATAGCTTTGTAGGTCATTTGCGCCAATGTCTGCATCTATCGCTTTCTCCAGCATGAATTTTGATCCTACAACTGCTGATTCGCTTATCTCAAATCGTCTCTCATTTCTTTTAAAAATAGGAGAATTGTCATTTATGTCTGTAATTTCGACAGTTACCCTAAACAGTTCCATAGGATTATCGAGAATAATCTGTAAATGTAGAGCGCAAGGCGTTGTCTTTCCGCATAGCGCCTCTCGGTCTATTCTCTCTTTGATAAGGAGGACTCCTCTTTCTTTATTCAGCTCGATGTATTCAGCGCTGTCTCCAGTATAAATACGCGCTTTACCCGATTTCAGTCTCTTTAAGTCTAAACCCAAATCCTGCGCTATGCTCCCAACTAAAGAGCCTTTCGCCATTTCCTCAGGAATGGAGTAACTGACCTGCCCGAGAGCCGAACTGAGAGAGAGAAACCAAATAAACAGCAGTACTTGCCGCGCCATTGTTCTGTCCGACATTTTGCTTAAGGGCAAATAAACGAAGTCACCGTGTATCCAGTTCCGAGTCTCAGTGTGTCCAGGTTCCAAATAGAATAAATCCAAAACTAGTGGAGAATTTCTAGGACAACGTCTAAACATGGATCCATAGGTTACGATTTATTACAGTGTCGATGTCCTCTGTGTTATGCCCCCGCATGTGCATTATGCAGACGCCTCAGTCTCCTCCTTAAGTGCAGTTAGAGAGGACGGTATTACTGGAATTATTCGCTCTCAGTCTCATCCCCCTAACAAACAGCGGCACTCTGAGACCATCCTGAGTTACTACAAAAATACATCTAAATTATATATAAAATGCACATACTCAAAACATATATACGCAGCGAGATAGAATAATCAAAAACAAAATTAAAAGCTGAATTTCTATTTGTGTAGTAATAATAATAATAAAAAAATCTAAATTTGACAATATATGTAACTGTACCTAAATATGTTCAACAATCACAAAGTGTTGGTTTGAGAATGACTAAAAAGTCCTGTATTTAATCAAAAGGGCAAAATTATCTATTGCCAGGCAGAAGCAATGCGAATTCAACAATACAATTTTTACACTACAGGACATCAGCATGTAATTAATAAATAGTATTTGGTATGCCAGAGCTCATGTTTGCGGAGAGGAAAGATGAAACGAAGGCAACAGCTATTGATTCAGCACCTTGGACAGCGAAACGAATGCAGCATATTAATTTCAGAATGCTGATTGCTTATTCTCGCTGAGAGATGTTGAATAACAACAACAACAATAATAATAATAATAATAATAATAATAATAATAGCAAACAAAAACATAAAACCGTTACTGTTTATATAAATATGGGTATGAGTTTCCTGAAAAACATGTAACACCTACTATACAAAAACAGTAAACCTCACCTTATCAGAATCATCAAAGTTCAGTGTCTCCCTTTGCGCATGCGTGAGTGTTTGTGTTCCGCTGGTGTCCAGACTAATGACGCTTTCACTGGAAGGTCTGCCGTATTTCAGATCACTCTTTCTGGAGTCAGTGGTTCTGCAAACCTCATAATTGTACACGTGCTGCAAAGTTCCTGTGCCCCCTACGTCTGCGTAAAGAGGCGGATAATACGGAATAACTGGAAGATTCGCTCCAGATTTGTAAAACATCCGCTCGCGTCTCCATCTGTAGCATTTGACTGACAGTATGGCGACACGCCCTCATCAGCGCACGTCACACTGATGTTATACTCAGACTCGCGCTCTCGGTCTAAATCACCTTCTGTAACGAGGCTGTAAAACCCGTCTGATGAAGAATGGATGATAAAAGGAATGTTTTCATTTAATTCACATTTTACGATTCCATTTTCATTTGTATCAGCGTCTTGTATGTTCATCATCGCTACAACTGTCCCTGGTGGGGAATTTTCAGATATGTCATTTGATTTTGACATTATACTGATAACTGGCTTATTGTCGTTCGTATCTGTGACGTCAATAATTACTTTACAAGAATCGGTATGTCCTCCTTGATCACTGGCTTGAATCGCTATCTGATAATGTTTGTTTTTTTCGTAGTCAACATTACCAGTTAACCAGAGAACGCCGTCATATTGGCCAATGTCAAATAGAGTTGCGGACGCTGCTGAAGATAACGAATAAGTGACGACGCCATTAGAACCCTGATCTGCGTCTGACGCGCTGACTGTGGTCAACACGGTGCCTTTTGCGGAGTTCTCGGCTATACTGGCTTTGTATACTGACTGACTGCAAACAGGCGCATTATCATTCGCATCTAAAACTGTAATGTGTATCAGCATTGTGCCTGACATTTGCACCTCGCCGCCATCGACTGCTGTTAACAATAAAGAAATATGGTCTTGTTTTTCACGATCTAGTGGTTTCTGTAAAACCATTTCCACAGATTTACTACCATCTGGCAAGCTTTGAGTTTTCACAACAAAATTTTCACTTGGTTTCAGAGTATATCTTTGAATACCATTCAAACCCACATCGGTGTCAACTGCAGTCTCCAAATCGAATTTAGCTCCAATCTGAGCCAGTTCGCTGATTTCAAATTTCATTTCATTAAGGCTGAAAATAGGGGCATTATCATTAATGTCTTTTAATAATATGGTGATGATGGGGGTGGAACTGCAGCAGATCTGCTCTTTAAACTGACATATTGAACAACGGCGGCACTATGAGTCCAGTCTGATGAACTACAGAAAACGTAAAAATGATAAACCTTTAACTTAGTGACAGACATATCTGAGAAAAGCAATTTACAAAAAGTCATGAAATATAAAACTAGCAAATGTCAATCGTAATACAAATTCTATTATATAAAACAATTGTACGAGTTTGTGTAAATAATATCTGTGGCTTTCTGCAGTTTATATGAGAGCCAGGCATTCTGTCCAGAGTCCACATCAACAGCCACCACTTTAGTCACCAGATAACCCACATCTGCAGAACGAGGCATTATTTCAGCCACCACAGAAACGCCTGACTGGACCGGATACAGAACCTGAGGCGCGTTGTCATTCTGGTCCCGAATCATTATTTTCACGCTCACGTTGCTGCTGAGAGGAGGGTTTCCTCCGTCCTGCGCTTTTACGCGGAACTGGAAATCTTTGATCTGCGAAAGCTTTGATCTGCTCGTAATCGAAAGATCGCACTGCGTGTATGACTCCACTATCAGCACTAACGGACACTAACGAGGAGACGGGCACTCCGTTAACCGACGAGTCCTCCAGCATGTAAGACATACGGGCATTCAGGTTAAAATCTGCGTCTCTGGCTCTGACTGTGAATATGGAAAGACCCGGTGTGTTGTTTTCTTGAACAGTGGCCTCATTTGAGCTCTTGTCAAAGACAGGCACGTTATCATTCACATCTGATATCTGTAAGGAGAGAGTGACGCTGCTGGAGAGAGAGGGCACGCCCTCATCAGCGCACGTCACACTGATGTTATACTCAGACTCGCGCTCTCGGTCTAAATCACCTTCTGTAACGAGGCTGTAAAACCCGTCTGATGAAGAATGGATGATAAAAGGAATGTTTTCATTTAATTCACATTTTACGATTCCATTTTCATTTGTATCAGCGTCTTGTATGTTCATCATCGCTACAACTGTCCCTGGTGGGGAATTTTCAGATATGTCATTTGATTTTGACATTATACTGATAACTGGCTTATTGTCGTTCGTATCTGTGACGTCAATAATTACTTTACAAGAATCGGTATGTCCTCCTTGATCACTGGCTTGAATCGCTATCTGATAATGTTTGTTTTTTTCGTAGTCAACATTACCAGTTAACCAGAGAACGCCGTCATATTGGCCAATGTCAAATAGAGTTGCGGACGCTGCTGAAGATAACGAATAAGTGACGACGCCATTAGAACCCTGATCTGCGTCTGACGCGCTGACTGTGGTCAACACGGTGCCTTTTGCGGAGTTCTCGGCTATACTGGCTTTGTATACTGACTGACTGCAAACAGGCGCATTATCATTCGCATCTAAAACTGTAATGTGTATCAGCATTGTGCCTGACATTTGCACCTCGCCGCCATCGACTGCTGTTAACAATAAAGAAATATGGTCTTGTTTTTCACGATCTAGTGGTTTCTGTAAAACCATTTCCACAGATTTACTACCATCTGGTAAGCTTTGAGTTTTTATAATAAAATTGTCACTTGGTTTTAGTATGTACTTTTGAAGACCATTCAAACCCACATCGGTGTCAACCGCAGTCTCCAAATCGAATTTAGCTCCGGACAGAGCCATTTCACTAATTTCAAATTTAATTACATTAAGGCTGAAAATAGGGGCGTTATCATTAATGTCTTGTATCTCAACTGTTACTCTGTATAGTTGCATCGGGTTTTCAAGAATACTCCGTCGAATGCTGTTAAAAGTAAAGATATATGATCTTTTTTCTCTCGATCTAAGTGCGTTTGGAGAACCATTTCGACGGCTTTATTTCCGTTGGGGAGATTCTGAAATTTCAAAACAAAATTATCTGTCGGTTCTAAAGAATAACTCTGCAGACCATTTCCACCGACGTCATGATCAATAGCACGCTCCAATATAAATCTGGCTCCTGCTAAAGACATTTCGTTTATTTCAAATCTCATCTCACTCTTACTAAACATCGGTGCATTGTCATTTATATCTGTGACCTCAACTGTAATGCGGTACAATTGCATAGGATTTTCGAGAATAATCTGAAAATGTAGAGCGCAAGGCGTTGTCTGTCCGCATAGCGCCTCTCGGTCTATTCTCTCTTTGATAAGGAGGACTCCTCTTTCTTTATTCAGCTCGATGTATTCAGCGCTGTCTCCTGTATAAATACGCGCTTTACCCGATTTCAGTCTCTTTAAATCTAAACCCAAATCCTGCGCAATGTTCCCGACTAAAGAGCCTTTTGCCATTTCCTCAGGAATGGAGTAACTGACCTGCCCGAGAGCAGAACTGAGAGAGAGAAACCAAATAAACAGCAGTACTTGCCGCGCCATTGTTCTGTCCGACATTTTGCAGAAGACAACGGAATTAAGACTGAAGCAGAAAACAAATAAATCAATCCAAGAAGCTGGAGGAAATCATGTATAAATCCAAAGTGACAAAAACTAAGAAAGTCTGTAATTCCAGAAGTATATTGAATACAGTGTCTCTGTGATTTGTCTTCTCTCTCCTCCTCAGACTGTGCTCTCAGCTTCTGTCTCTCTCTTATAATATGGTGATGATGGGGGTGGATCTGCAGCAGATCAGCTCTCTACACTGACATATTGACCAACAGCGGCACTATGAGTCCAGTCTGATGAACTACAGAAAACGTAAAAATTATAAACCTTTAACTTAGTGAAAGACATATCTGAGAAAAGCAATTTACTAAAAGTCTTGAAATATAAAACTAGCAAATGTCAATCGTAATACAAATTTCTATTATATAAAACGATTGTACGAGTTTGTGTAAATAAGATTTTAGAAAAATATTGAAACAAATACATTTATTGTTCCCTCAGTGTTTTGATCAGGTCTTATCTATGAGTTTGTTGATCAGAGAAACAGGGAGAAATATCTAAAATACAATTAATCACATACAAAGTATCCGAAAACTAATGAAAGAGTGCATAGTTTAAACATGAACAGGAAGACAGACCGATCAGCTGCTAAAAAAAAAAACCCTCAAAAAGACTGAGGTAAAGAGATGCATAAGAATACATAAGGTAAAATGACCGCTTTGCTGTATTTCAGGACCATGGTCAGGGAAACTGAAGTTCCTTTTTACATGACAATGACACTTGAGGGAAAAAATAAACAATGACACTAATTATTAAATAAATAGGTAATGATAATAATAATAATAATAATAATAATAATAATAGTTCGAAAAAAACAAAAGAAAATATAGAAAAATCTAATTCTACTTGACGTATCTAAGTGAAAAATGTACGAATAAAAATACAGCATAATGACTTGAGTAACCGAACTGCTGAAAAGAAAACTACACAAAATGACCAAACCATTCTAAAAGTTAAAAAATGTCAGTTTGTTAGAATTGCAGAAACGATTCGCTTCAGAAAAGTAATCGGTTCAACAGTCGAAGCAAAAATTACAAATCATGACAACCAACGTTTTAAATACTGCGTAAATTAGTTAAAATTGCTGGAGAGAGAGGGCACGCCCTCATCAGCGCACGTCACACTGATGTTATACTCAGACTCGCGCTCTCTGTCTAAATCACCATCTGTGACTAAACTGAAGAAATTAGCATTTGTCGACTTTAAAGTGAAAGGGATGTTCTCATTAACTGAACATTGAACTTTCCCGTTTTCTCCCGAATCAAGATCCTGAACATTTATCATCGTTACCACCGTCTCAGACGCGGAATTTTCAGCTATCACGTTTGTTTTGGACATAATATTGATCACTGGTTTATTATCATTGATATCGGTTGCATCAACTATGATCTTACACGAATCAGTAAAGCCTCCATGATCACTCGCTTGAACGCGAATCTCAAAGTGCCGAGCTTGTTCATAATCAACTAGACCGATCAACCGTACTTTGCCATCAGTCTCGTTGATTTCAAATATGTCTCGAACTTTATCTAGCGTGTTTGTTATTGAATAGATTATTTCACCGTTTACTCCTTGATCTGGATCCGACGCACTAACTGTCGTCACAATTGTTCCTTTTGGTGAATTTTCTGTTACAGCAGTTTTATAAACTGACTGTGTGAAAACAGGAGCGTTATCGTTCGCATCTAAAACAATAATATGTATCTGAATATTACCAGACATTTGTGGATCTCCCCCGTCAATAGCTGTTAACGTTAAAGACATGTCATCCTGCTTCTCACGATCTAGAGGCTTTTGTAAAATCATTTCGACATTTTGTCCTCCCACTGGCTGGCTCTTAAAGTTCAAGGCAAAATTATCTGTCGGTTTTAATGTGTAGGTCTGCAAACCATTAATTCCAACGTCAAGATCTCTAGCAGGTTCTATTGTAAATTTGGTACCAATTGATGCAGATTCGCTAATTCTAAATATAATTTCATTTTTTTCAAAAAATGGTGCGTTGTCATTTATATCAAGCACCTCAACATTAACACTGTAAAACTCCATTGGGTTTTCAAGAATAATCTGAAAATGTAGCGCGCAAGGCGTTGTCTGTCCGCATAGCGCCTCTCGGTCTATTCTCTCTTTGATAAGGAGGACTCCTCTTTCTTTATTCAGCTCGATGTATTCAGCGCTGTCTCCTGTATAAATACGCGCTTTACCCGATTTCAGTCTCTTTAAATCTAAACCCAAATCCTGCGCAATGTTCCCGACTAAAGAGCCTTTCGCCATTTCCTCAGGAATGGAGTAACTGACCTGCCCGAGAGCCGAACTGAGCGAGAGAAACCAAATAAACAGCAATACTTGCCGCGCCATTGTTCTGTCCGACATTTTGCAGAAGACCACGGAATGAAGATTCAAGCAGAAAACAAATAAATCAATCCAAGAAGCTGGAGGAAATGATGTATATATCCAAAGCGAAAAAGATGGAGAAAACCGGGTATATCCAAAGCGACGAAAACCAACAAAAAAGTCAGTATTTTAAAGGATAGTAAATACAGTATCTTCGTGATCAGTCTTCTCTCCTCCTCCTCAGACTGTGCTGTCAGATTCTGTCTCTCTCTAATAATATGGTGATGATGGGGGTGGAACTGCAGCAGATCTGCTCTCTAAACTGACATATTGACCAACAGCGACACTATGAGTCCAGTCTGATGAACTACAGAAAATTAAAAACGAATAAACCTTCATCTCTGTGTTAGACATGTCGAAGAAAAGCAAGTTACTGAATAAAGTACTCAAGTAAAAAAAAAAAAAAAACCTAGCAAATGTGCATTATACTACAAACATCTAAGAGATAAAATGATTGTATGAGTTTGTGTAAATAAGATTTAAAGAAAAAAACCCCCGAAACAAATAAATTTCTCGTTTCCTCAGTATTTTGATCAGGTCCTATCCGCGTGTCCATTCATCAGAGAGACAGGGAGAAAAATCTGAAATATAATTGAACACATACCAAGCATCTGAAACCTAATTAAATGTTGTATCGTTTAACCGTGAACAGGAGGAATGAACAGACAGACAGAGAAACTGCAGACAAAAATTCTCAAAAAGCACGGTGCTGTAGTGATGCATCAGAATACATGAGGAAAATTACCGCCTCGCTGCATTTCAGGACCATGGACAGGGAAGCTGAAGTTTCTAATTTCATGACAGACAAGTACAACAGTCGTGCAGAAAAAAAAAAAGTTGAGGTCAAATAGGAATTATTAATGCCACCGCATGTTAAATCGCTAGCCTATGAATCAGTGACAGTGTGCCATATTACCTCGGACCTAAAATTAAAATAAATAAACAAATAATAAAAGAAAAATGAATATATATTTTAAAAAATCAACTTCTACTTAATTCATAACATTTTTCTTTCTATTTTTTTTTTGGCTGTACAAAATGTGATACGAATGAAAACAGAGAACAATTATTTGAGTAATAGAAACGCAGAAAATATACAACAATTAAAACTGACCAAAATATAACATCATCAAAACACACCATTATTTGTCAACTACTCAAAAAGAAAAAGAAGATTAATCAGCGATACTGTCAAAAGCTAAAGCAAAAATGATTAATTATGAAGAACAACGTTTTAAAATATCAATATAAATTAACTGTAAAAATATTTCTCACCTTATCACAATCATCAAAGTTCAGTGTCTCCCTTTGCGCATGCGTGAGTGTCTGTGTTCCACTGCTGTCCAGACTAATGATGCTTTCACTGCAAGGTCTGCCGTATTTCAGATCACTCTTTCTGGAGTCAGTGGTTCTGCAAACCTCATAATTGTACACGTGCTGTAAAGTTCCTGTGCCCCCTACGTCTGCGTAAAGAGGCGGATAATACGGAATAACTGGAAGATTCGCTCCAGATTTGTAAAACATCCGCTCGCGTCTCCATCTGTAGCATTTGACTGACAGTATGGCGATGATAGACACGATAAAGAGAAACGAAACTACAGCCAAGGCCAAGACCAGATAGAAAGTAAGGTTGTCGTTGTAGTCCTTGTCGTGCGTAAAGTCAGTGAACTCCGAGAGCACTTCAGGGAAGCTGTCCGCCACCGCCACGTTAACATTGACTGTAGCTGATCGAGAGGGCTGCCCGTTGTCCTCCACTACAACAGTGAGTCTTTGTTTCACAGCATCTTTATCTGTCACTTGGCGCACAGTTCTTATTTCTCCATTCTGTAAGCCCACTTCAAACAGCGCCCTGTCTGTGGCTTTCTGCAGTTTATATGAGAGCCAGGCATTCTGTCCAGAGTCCACATCAACAGCCACCACTTTAGTCACCAGATAACCCACATCTGCAGAACGAGGCACTATTTCAGCCACCACAGAAGCGCCTGACTGGACCGGATACAGAACCTGAGGCGCGTTGTCATTCTGGTCCTGAATCATTATTTTCACACTCACGTTGCTGCTGAGAGGAGGGGAGCCTCCGTCCTGCGCTTTTACGCGGAACTGGAAAGCTTTGATCTGCTCGTAATCGAAAGATCGCACTGCGTGTATGACTCCACTATCAGCACTAACGGACACTAACGAGGAGACGGGCACTCCGTTAACCGACGAGTCCTCCAGTATGTAAGACACACGGGCATTCTGGTTAAAATCTGCGTCTCTGGCTTTGACTGTGAATATGGAAAGACCCGGTGTGTTGTTTTCTTGAACAGAGGCCTCATATGAGCTCTTGTCAAAGACAGGCGCGTTATCATTCACATCTGATATCTGTAAGAAGAGAGTGACGCTGCTGGAGAGAGAGGGCACGCCCTCATCAGCGCACGTCATACTGATGTTATACTCAGACTCGCACTCTCGGTCTAAATCACCATCTGTGACTAAACTGAAGAAATTGCCATTTGTCGACTTCAGAGTAAAGGGAATGTTCTCATCAACTGAACACACAATTTTACCGTTTTCTTCTGCATCTGGGTCTTGTGCGTTTATCATTGTTACAACAGTTCCAGGATTAGAGTTTTCTGATATTGTGGTTAATTTAGACATGATGTTGATCTGTGGTTTATTGTCATTTATATCAATCACATCCACATCGATTTTACAAGAATCAGTCAGACCCCCGTCATCGCTGGCCTGCACATGAATTTGATAGTGGCGAGCTTTCTCGTAATCTATATTCCCCGTTACTCTCACCTCACCGTTTGTTTCGTTCATTTCAAACAACTCCGGAACATTGTCGAGGGTATTTGTAATAGCATACGTAATTTTGCCGTAAGATCCCTCATCCAAATCAGAAGCGCTCACAATCGTCACAACTGTGTCTTTAAAAGCATTCTCGGTGATACTCGCTTTATATGTTTTATGAGTAAAAACAGGCGCATTATCGTTAGCATCTAAAACAGTAATAAGTATCTGCGCAGTACCAGACAATTGTGGATCACCTCCATCTATCGCTGTCAGAACCAAAGACAAATGGTCTTGCTTTTCACGATCGAGAGGTTTTAGAAGAACCATTTCTACTAGCTTACTACCGTCTGCCTGACTTTGTAATTTTAAAGAAAAGTTATCAGTAGGCTTTAATATATAAGTCTGAAGGCCGTTTATTCCGACGTCTAAATCCATCGCTCTCTCTAAAACAAAAACTGCCCCAGTTGCAGCTGACTCACTAATTCTGAATTTCATCTCAGCTCGTTTAAAAGATGGCGAATGGTCATTTATATCTGTAACTTCGAGTGTAACTGAGTAAAATTCCATTGGGTTTTCAAGAATAATCTGAAAATGTAGCGCGCAAGGCGTTGTCTGTCCGCATAGCGCCTCTCGGTCTATTCTCTCTTTGATAAGGAGGACTCCTCTTTCTTTATTCAGCTCGATGTATTCAGCGCTGTCTCCTGTAAAAATACGCGCTTTACCCGATTTCAGTCTCTTTAAATCTAAACCCAAATCCTGCGCTATGTTCCCGACTAAAGAGCCTTTCGCCATTTCCTCAGGAATGGAGTAACTGACCTGCCCGAGAGCCGAACTGAGAGAGAGAAACCAAATAAACAGCAGTACTTGCCGCGCCATTGTTCTGTCCGACATTTTGCAGAAGACCATAGAAGAGAAGATTAAGACAGAAAGCAAATAAAACAATCCAAAAAGCTGGAGGAAATTATGTATAACTCCAAAGTGACGAGAACTAACAAAAAAGTCTGTAAGTCAAAGAAAAGGATAGTAAATACAGTATCTCCGTGATTTGTCTTCTCTCTCCTTCTCAGACTGTGCTCTCAGCTCCTGTCTCTCTCTAATAATATGGTGATGATGGGGGTGGAACTGCAGCAGATCTGCTCTCTAAACTGACATATTGACCAACAGCGGCACTATGAGTCCAGTCTGATGAACTACAGAAAATGTAAAATTAATAAACATTTTTCTCTGTCAGAAATGTATAAGACAAGCAATTTACGAAACAAAGTACTGCAATATAGAACTAGCAAACGTATATTATGATACAAACATCTAAGAGATAAAATGATTTAATGAGTTTGTGTAAATAAGATTTAATGAAAAAAATTTAAACAAATGTATCGTTCCCTCAGTGTTTTGATCAGGGCCCCATCCGCGTGTCCATTGATCAGAGATACAGGGAGAAATATATAAAATACAATTATTCAGATACCAAGGATCTGAAAACTAACGAAAGCTTGAATCATTTAAATGTGAACAAGAGGATAGACAGACAAACTGCAGTTTAAAAAACAAGAAGAAAAAAAAAGAAAAAGACGTATCAGAATCCATGACGAAAATGACCGCCTCGCCGCATTTCAGGACCATGGTCAGGGAAGTTGAAGTTTCTCACTTCAAGTATACAGTATATATACAAGTATAACAGTCGTGCATAAAAAAGTAAAGGTCGAATAAAAATCGAAAATGCCACCGCATGTTAAATCACTAGCATATGTATCAGTGACAATGTGCCATATTACCTCGGACTTAAAATGAAAATAAATAAATAAATAAATAACCATAATATACAAAAAACAAAACAAAAACTTCTACTTAACGCATTAAAAAACAGTAAAAATAAAAAATATAATAAAGTATTTTTTTCTTGCCTGTACAAAAAGAGATACAAATAAAAAATAGACTAATAATTTGACTATAACAGAAATGCAGAAAATATACAACTATAAAAACTGACCAGACTATAATATAATATCAAAATACACCATTATTTAATAGTCAACTTAAAATTGCAGAAACTATTTATTTCAGACAAATAATCAGTGACGTGTCAACAGCTGAAGCAAAAATGATTAATTATTAGAAACATATTTTTAAAATATGATATTGGCTGTAAAAAATATTTCTCACCTGATCGTCACAATTGTCAAAGTTCATTCTCTCCCTTTGCGCATGCGTGAGTGTCTGTGCTCCACTGCTGTCCAGACTAATGATGCTCTCACTGCAAGGTCTGCCGTATTTCAGATCACTCTTTCTGGAGTCAGTGGTTCTGCAAACCTCATAATTGTACACGTGCTGTAAAGTTCCTGTGCCCCCTACGTCTGCGTAAAGAGGCGGATAATACGGAATAACTGGAAGATTCGCTCCAGATTTGTAAAACATCCGCTCGCGTCTCCATCTGTAGCATTTGACTGACAGTATGGCGATGATAGACACGATAAAGAGAAACGAAACTACAGCCAAGGCCAAGACCAGATAGAAAGTCAGGTTGTCGTTGTAGTCCTTGTCGTGCGGAAAGTCAGTGAACTCCGAGAGCACTTCAGGGAAGCTGTCCGCCACCGCCACGTTAACATTGACTGTAGCTGATCGAGAGGGCTGCCCGTTGTCCTCCACTACAACAGTGAGTCTTTGTTTCACAGCATCTTTATCTGTCACTTGGCGCACAGTTCTTATTTCTCCATTCTGTAAGCCCACTTCAAACAGCGCCCTGTCTGTGGCTTTCTGCAGTTTATATGAGAGCCAGGCATTCTGTCCAGAGTCCACATCAACAGCCACCACTTTAGTCACCAGATAACCCACATCTGCAGAACGAGGCACTATTTCAGCCACCACAGAAGCGCCTGACTGGACCGGATACAGAACCTGAGGCGCGTTGTCATTCTGGTCCTGAATCATTATTTTCACGCTCACTTTGCTGCTGAGAGGAGGGGAGCCTCCGTCCTGCGCTTTTACGCGGAACTGGAAAGCTTTGATCTGCTCGTAATCGAAAGATCGCACAGCGTGTATGACTCCACTATCAGCACTAACGGACACTAACGAGGAGACGGACACTCCGTTAACCGACGAGTCCTCCAGTATGTAAGATACACGGGCATTGTGGTTAAAATCTGCGTCTCTGGCTTTGACTGTGAATATGGAAAGACCCGGTGTGTTATTTTCTTGAACGGAGGCCTCATAAGAGCTCTTGTCAAAGACAGGCGCGTTATCATTCACATCTGATATCTGTAAGGAGAGAGTGACGCTGCTGGAGAGAGAGGGCACGCCCTCATCAGCGCACGTCACACTGATGTTATACTCAGACTCGCGCTCTCGGTCTAAATCACTATCCGTGACTAAACTGTAGAACCCATCGGGCGAAGACTGAATGACGAATGGAACATTTTCATTTAAGTGACAATTAACTTTGCCGCTTTCATTCGAGTCTACGTCTTGAATATTTAATATTGCTAAAACAGTGCCAGATTTGGAATCCTCTGATATCTGGCTTGATTTTGAAATAATATTAATAGTGGGATTATTATCGTTTGTGTCAATAACGTCAACAATTATTTTACACGAATCTGTATGACCGCCTTCATCTCGTGCCTGCACATCAATTTGATAATACTTACTTATTTCGTAATCTATGCCCCCAATAAGCTTTACAACACCAGCATCAGGATCTATTTCAAAAATATCTGCCGCTTTGTCCGCAGTACTTGAAATAGAGAATGATATTCTACCATTTGAACCTTGGTCAGCATCAGAAGCGTCAACTGTAGTTAAAACTGTGCCTTTTGGAGAATTTTCAGTTATGCTAGTTTTGTATACGGATTGTGAACACACAGGGGCGTTATCATTAGCATCTAAAACTTTAATATGTATCTTCATTATACCGGACATCTGGGGCTCGCCTCCGTCGAATGCTGTTAAAAGTAAAGAGATATGATCTTTTTTCTCTCGATCTAAGGGCGTTTGGAGAACCATTTCGACGGCTTTATTTCCGTTGGGGAGATTCTGAAATTTCAAAACAAAATTATCTGTCGGTTCTAAAGAATAACTCTGCAGACCATTTCCACCGACGTCATGATCAATAGCACGCTCCAATATAAATCTGGCTCCTGCTAAAGACATTTCGTTTATTTCAAATCTCATCTCACTCTTACTAAACATCGGTGCATTGTCATTTATATCTGTGACCTCAACTGTAATGCGGTACAATTGCATAGGATTTTCGAGAATAATCTGAAAATGTAGAGCGCAAGGCGTTGTCTGTCCGCATAGCGTCTCTCGGTCTATTCTCTCTTTGATAAGGAGGACTCCTCTTTCTTTATTCAGCTCGATGTATTCAGCGCTGTCTCCTGTATAAATACGCGCTTTACCCGATTTCAGTCTCTTTAAATCTAAACCCAAATCCTGCGCTATGCTCCCGACTAAAGAGCCTTTGGCCATTTCCTCAGGAATGGAGTAACTGACCTGCCCGAGAGCCGAACTGAGAGAGAGAAACCAAATAAACAGCAGTACTTGCCGCGCCATTGTCCTGTCCGACATTTTGCTGAAGACCATAGAAGAGAAGATTAAGGCAGGAAACAAATTAATCCAAAAAGCTGGAGGAAATCATGAAAATATCCAAAGTGAAAAGTAGTAATACAAGTCTGTAAATCCTAAAAAAAATTAGAATACATATATTATCTCTGAGATTTGCCTTCTTTCTTCTTCTCAGACTGTGCTCTCAGCTTCTGTCTCTCTCTAACAATATGGTGATGATGGGGGTGGAACTGCAGCAGATCAGCTCTCTAAACTGACATATTGACCAACAGCGGCACTATGAGTCCAGTCTGATGAACTACAGAAAATGAATACACGCATACCTCTTGTTATTATTATTTCAGACGTCTGCTGCCCCAATCGCGACAAATTAAAATAAAATATAAAAATTTCAAAAAGTAAAAAAAGATACATTATATAATAATATATTAAACATATACACTATAAATATATTAATTAACATACATTTGGACTTCAATAAACTTCTAAGAAATGTGCGGTTGGTTAGTCTTTAAATTGTCATGTATGCCTAATTAAAAAAAATATGATTTTTTTTAAATAGGAAAAATAAAAACATTTACGAAAACTAATTACAAAATGTGTAAAAATGTAAGCAACATGAGAAAAGTATACTTCTGTAAGGGAGAAAAACGGACTGTCATAAGGAGGAACATCCAACTGACAGTATTTCAGCACCATGGTCAGTGAATCAAGACATTTTCTACACAACGGTTTTATACAATTAATATATTACTCATATATCGTACAATAACTATCTAAAACGACAAAATGGGTGTAGTTTCACTTATTTGAGAATTACCTTACTTGGTACCAAAAAAAAGCGTGTTTACAGAAAAGCACACAAGCAACGGTGGACTTAACAATAGTCCCACAAATAAATTTCATATATGTACACACATACACGAAGAAAAAAAAAACTCTAACAGATACCAATATATAAATCTCACCTGATCATCGAAATCTTGATTGGTTGGCTTTTCTCTCTGAGCATGCGTGAGTGTCTGTGTTCCACTGCTGTCCAGACTAATGATGCTCTCACTGCAAGGTCTGCCGTATTTCAGATCACTCTTTCTGGAGTCAGTGGTTCTGCAAACCTCATAATTGTACACGTGCTGTAAAGTTCCTGTGCCCCCTACGTCTGCGTAAAGAGGCGGATAATACGGAATAACTGGAAGATTCGCTCCAGATTTGTAAAACATCCGCTCGCGTCTCCATCTGTAGCATTTGACTGACAGTATGGCGATGATAGACACGATAAAGAGAAACGAAACTACAGCCAAGGCCAAGACCAGATAGAAAGTCAGGTTGTGGTTGTAATCCTTGTCGTGCGTAAAGTCAGTGAACTCCGAGAGCGCCTCAGGGAAGTTGTCCGCCACCGCCACGTTAACATTGACTGTAGCTGATCGAGAGGGCTGCCCGTTGTCCTCCACTACAACAGTGAGTCTTTGTTTCACAGCATCTTTATCTGTCACTTGGCGCACAGTTCTTATTTCTCCATTCTGTAAGCCCACTTCAAACAGCGCCCTGTCTGTGGCTTTCTGCAGTTTATATGAGAGCCAGGCATTCTGTCCAGAGTCCACATCAACAGCCACCACTTTAGTCACCAGATAACC